TCAGGCTCTGGTGGTCCGAGCACCAGCCAGACTCCGGCTAGAGACCTCAGCACTCCATTCTCAGTCCTGATGGTGCTCTGCCACCATCACTGGGCAGTCTTCCCAGCGGTGATTAGCCAGAAAGCCCACCTTTGGAATTCAACACCAGTTGAGAACCAAGTAGAAGCTTCCCACCTGAGGCCCGATGGCCATTCTTAACACACGACTTCCCCAAGCCCTTTGTCCCCCTGTCCCCCAACCCAGTGGTGTGGAGGAGGGGCATGCTTCCTGCTCTGGTCCCCTTGCCCCCTCGACTAGGGCTTGTCTGTGCCCCCAAGCACCATGGAGTGGCAGGAGGGGCCTGCGCCTGGGTCTGTTAGCACCATGAAACCTGCCCTTGGGCAGGGCAGTACCTGTGGCCCCCTCTTATTTGCCAAGTCTGCCTTGCCCTTCCCCGCTTGGGCAGCTGTGTGTGGCTAGAGGTTCCAGACGCACACCCCAGGTAAGAAGCCACGGAGGGCAGGGACACTGGCTTTTTCTCCCCAGGTGGGACTGGGCCGAGGGCAGCCTTCAGGACCCAGGCCTCCCAGACCACCACAGGCAGGCACTCCTTTGCAGACTCCACGGAGTTGTCACCGTCACCATCCTGCTCCACTAGTCCATGCGCCCGAAGATGCCCAGCTGTCGGGATTGTCTGTCGGGATCTTGGCTGGTTTGCCAGGCCCGTGGGTGTGAATCATCTCACCAAGTGTGCAAAGCGCCTCCACATCACAGTCACATCCACGTGCGTGGAGGGCATGACCTCCCCTGCCGGGACCCACTCTGTGCCCGTGGTGGCACAAACCCACCCCTTCAGACCAGCTTGCCCTTGAAAAGCATGCTCTCAAGAAACAAAGGCTCCCCGTTTCCTCCTGGCCCACATGTGCCTGCTGGTTCCTGGAAGCACACACGCCTTTCCTTTTCAGCCTGGCGTGCTGACGGCACGCTTCACTGTGCCGCTTGTACTTCACCCGACGAGGTGTCCTGGGCGGCATCGCGCTTGGCAGGAAGCCTGTGCTGATGTCTTACTCTGTTCGGGGTGGTGCAGGGCCTTCCTGTCTGCCCTGGGCCCTGTGGCCCTGCAGCGCTTCCACACCCGACTGAAGCCCAGGCGGGCTTTGTGCCTTGGTGCTTTACAAAGCCCTTCTCTCGGGTCTCGCCCCGAGCGAAGGGCGTGGGGGTGGGGGTCGTGTGCATTAGGTGCGGAACGGCGGTCTTAGGACCGCTTCATATTTAAAATAATAAAGTCGCTGTCTTGTCTCTCCACACAATTGTAGGATGATCCTTTCAAAAATAAAGCCTTGTTATTTAGCAACAATGCTCAAGACCTACACCCGGACCCCTTCCAAGCCGAAGACCCTTTCAAATCTGACCCCTTCAAAGGAGCTGACCCCTTCAAAGGTAGGGCCCCCACACCCATCGCCCAGCCACGACGCTGCCCGTTGCGTTTTATTCTTAACTGTGGTGAAAAATAGACCTGACAAACTTCTCGCCGTCTCAGCCGCTCTTCCCCGCGACGACGGGCAGCACATGCTTCGAATTGCGCAGCCATCCTCGCTGTCCCCCGGCGAATCAGTCCACCGTCACGAGCAGAACCCCCAAAGCAGGGTCTCCCCTTCCACCACCCACCCTCCCTCTCCCCTTTAGCTCAACCATAGACCCGCCTGTTCCAGGCTTTTACACGCGTGTGGACATGCGGTGCTCGTCCTTTTGCGGTGGCCTGTACTCACTTTGCAGCATCACCCTCAGCACCTCACGTCCACGCTGGGGAGTGCTGTGGCGTGGATGGACCACGTGGCTTTCTCCAGCATATGTGGACGGACACATGTTTTGTCGCCACCGTGTGGCTCTGGTGGAAAGGGTGGCCGTGCACACTGGTGCGCTGGCGCCCCTGTGGGCATCCCTGCCCTCCCTTCTCCTGGGCAGACACCTGGGAGGGGGACAGCTGGGGCACATGTAGTTCTCTGAACAGCCTTCTGAAGAAGCAGCTGCACCTGTTGGCCACTTCTTCAGTGGTTCAGTGGTCAGAGAAAGTAGGGACCCTCCAGTCAGAAAGAGAGTCTGAGGCCCCTCCAACGCTGCCCACTTGGTGAATACAGCCCTTGGGGCTCCCCATTCGGGGCGGGGCTGCCGCTGCAGTGGGGGCAGGGCCAGGCAGTTCTAGATGCTCATGCCTCGGTGTAGAAACAAGATGTCCTGACCCCTTGCCAAAGTGTCTTAGGGATGGCCTGGCAGCTCCTGGACTCAGGTGCTCCTGGGCCTCCTCGCTCCCCAGGTGTGGGGTTTGGTGGAGGCTCCTGGTACCCTGAGGAGGTGAGAGGGAGATCCGGTAGAAGGCGGAGCCTGGTGTTGAAGTGGAGAGTGTATCTTTCACTGCTCTGTAACCATCTTATCTAGGATCACGCCTGCTTCGGGGAGCCTGGCCGGGCAGCCCCTGTCCTCCCATTCAGCAAGCCAGGTGTATCTGGGCAGGGGCAGCGGAGGAAGGAGCGCCTTCCTTTTCCAAAAGGGGCGGTGGCGGCAGGAGCCGTGTGCAGGTGGAGGGCCCAGTGCAGCGGGACTACTTGATCTGCTGTTGTCCTCCTCCTGTGAGGAGCTCTAGTGGCACAGTGGTTACTCATTGGGCTGCTAGCTGCAAGGTCAGCAGTTTGAAACCACCAGCCGCTCCATGGGAGAAAGATGAGGCTTTCTACTCCCATAAGGAGCTCCAGTCTTGGGAGTCTACAGGGACAGTTCTACAGACGCTAGGAGTCAGAATCGACGCGATGGCAGTACGGTGGGATTCTGGGGTGGTCTTTCTAAGCATTTCTCTCCCCTCTGATCTAGGGGACCCGTTCCAGAACGACCCTTTTGCAGAACAGCAGACAGCATCGACAGGTAAAAGAATCATTTCCTGGACAAGCTCTCAGAATGTTGCACGTCTAGCCCAAGTCAAGGAAAAGGGAGGCCGCCTCCCTGGCTTGTCTGCGAGGCTCCTTCCAGAAGGAGCTGGGAGCGACCTCTTCTCCCTCCTTTGCAGTCTGGGCCCCTTTGAGACCACTTCCCGGCATGACGAGGGACTGCGGTGAAAGTAGCAACTGCCAGTGACGTGGCTGTGCGCACATGCCTGTGACTTGCCCACTGGGGCCAGGGGCACCTCTGGCCCTTGTCGGGGTGTTCTGTGTGGTCCCTATGCTCACAGGGCTCTGCCCACAGCTCTGGCAAGGCTGGCGCTTGCCGGGCACGCTCACCCTTTGTGAGCACGCCTGGTCTCCTGCTGTCCTCTGCGCACAGCTGCGGCGCTCTGTGAGCCCGTGCCCTTCTCATTGGGTCTAAAGTCCGACTGACCAAAGCCTCCACGTAGAGTGCGTGCCATCCCAGGGACAGCCTTCTGTCACCCCAGCAGGGCCCTTGGGCCTCTGCGGTCTGTGCAGCCCACCCAGGGCTCCTGGGAGTCATGGATCTGGTCTCGTCTGTACACTGTCCTACCACGTACCTGGCCTCAGCAGACGTATGTTCCTCTGGGTTTCAGCTCTTCCCCTGAGGAGGCTGCTAAGTTGCTGTCGAGTGGATTCCAACTCGCAGCACCCCTGTGGGCCAGAGGGCAGTGCTCCACAGTGTTCTCGGCTGTGAGCTTCACGGGGGACCCAGAGCAGGACGCACATGGTCGTCACGGGTGATGCTATGCCGGCTGACCTTACTGTCCCTGAGACTGGTCCTCAGCCCTCAAGCCCAGTGACTCAGTCCTTCAAGGTGTGCACTTGTGGCTAAGAAGTTGGCATCACTTTGCCCCCGGATACTCTACCATATACCTGGACATATTCGCAGTGCATGCAAGTAACGTCTGTAGGAACATCGTCTGTCAAACCTATGTGTTTGTGGATGTGCGCCATGTGTCCACTCCTGTGCTGCTGTCCGAGAACACTGTCACATACTGCAGCAGTGTGTGTGTCCTAGCATTGACCCTCGTGGCCTCTCACTCTTAAAGGACTGCTGCCCTGTGTCTTCATTGCGGGACTGCCTTTCCCTCTCACAAGTTAATACGAGGAGGCGTCAGAAAGGGCATGGAGAGAGGCGAGGGAAAGATCATGGCATTTCCCCACAGTACATGTCTACTATCTAGTGCTTTATCCTTCCCTCCCCTCCTACACTACATAACCCTCCAAGAACGTCTCTCTCTTTCTCCGAGCATAAATCTTTTCTTGGCCTCTTGTAGCCGCGGGCTCCTACACTGGTTGCCCTCTGACGGACTCAGTTCACGCAGCGAGACATCGTCCGCCATACACACTGCGGTGTTTAGTGGGCTCCTGGTTGGGCCTCCGTGTGTGCATGTACCCGCGTGACGGCCACACCATGTTGCTGTTGTGACCGAGGCGCCGGCGGCCCCGGGCCTGCATGTCACTGCAGTGGTCGCCAGGGCACTCGCTGCTGGGTGGGTTGGACACGCGGCCCTGCCCCAGCACAGTGCCGTTTCTTCATGGGCGCCTTTTCCTTACTTCCTAGATCCATTTGGAGGGGATCCCTTCAAAGAGAGCGACCCGTTCCGGGGCTCTGCCCCAGAGGACTTCTTCAAGAAACAGTCCAAGAATGACCCGTTTACCTCAGACCCATTCACGAAAAACCCCTCCCTCCCTTCCAAGGTGAGTGGCCTCCTTTATGCTCATTTGTCAGTGTGAAAACGATCCTTCCTGCTCAGCAGGCCCCTGTGGAAGGAGACGCCATCCCGGTCTTTGCAGGTGGGCCCTGTGCAGCGGGATGGCTCTGTGACCGGGCTCTCAATCTCACTGCTGGGTGGTGAGGGGACTTCAAGGTTCTCACCCAGGGATCTCAGCATAGTGCTGGTTCCCCGCTCGGTTCCCCCCACTCTGAGTACAGCCCTGCCCCGTGACTTCTGCCCCGCAGCTGCTTTGTGACCTCCAGCACCATCACGCTCCCACACAGGCAGGGTCTCCCAAACTCTCAGTCTGCAGCTTCACCCAGAGGTTTTGCGTTTGGTCAGTGGCTGTCAAGTTGGCACTGCATTGTGACCACCCTAAGTACAGCCGGAGGGAGCACTGCCCCGTCCTCACCACCTTCGTGCCCATGGTGGTTGCTATGGGCACTCCGTCTCACTGAGGCTTCCCCTCGCTGACTGACGGCTTGGCCAACCACCATGCCACACCTCGCCTGGCACCTGGTCCCCTTGATGATGTGTCCTAAGTCAGCAAGCCAGGTCTTACCAGCCTCCCTGCTGAGGGCCACCCTTTGAGATGTCTGAATCGTCGTCGCCGCACACCCTGGGTCCACAGCTCGCTCTCCCTGTCCGGCTTTCTCATGCACCCGAGGCGACTGAAAGGTGCGGCCCACCTGACTTCTCAGAATGACAGCTTTGCTGTGGAAACTCTATGCAGAGGGCGTTCCCAAGCCATGGCATGGTTTGACAGCGCTGGGGTTTTCGATCGTGCTGGAGGAGAAAGTGTGCAGAGGAAATTCGTCTCCCGTCTGATAGTTGGCATATACAGTGACAGTGGCTGCAGTCCCCAGTGCGGCGTTTTGCCCTCTGGCTCCCCAGTTCCCTTTGGGACAGATTTTTTTACCCCTTCCTGCCCTGCTGTCTTTGCTTTTCCTCTCGGGTGTTGGTCCAACTGAAAGGTGGTCTTTGGGAATGGCTTCCATTCTAGGTCTCTTGGAATTGATTTCCTGACTGCTTTCTTGGGCATTGTGCTGACCTGAGCCGCGTAGAAACCTTGACCACAGTCCTGTGGATCAGATACTTCCAGCTAACCAGAGCCAGTGCCCTGTGCTTCCCCATGCATTCTGCGGGCCTCTGTTGAGTTAGGGTCCAGCAGGGTTTAAAGCCAAAGGGGCTTTTGGTGATTGCATAGAGACCGTCTGTCCGTCTCTTCGTTTCATAGGCTGAAGCTCTGCCCTCAATCAGGGGTGCTGGTGGGGCAACTACTCCTGCCTTTCTCCTGGGCCCCTTCCACTTCCCAGGGCCACTTTACCCCTCCGTGGCTTTCTGTCTTCTCCACACGCCCCCGGTCTTCAGCACGAGGCCTGGAAGCTCCTGGAATCAGAACCCAAACACGAAACTCACTGCCATCCAGTCAGTGCTGACTCCGCAGCCCTGGAGTCAGGCAGGGCTTTAATCCGGAGTATTTTCCTCTTGGTCGTTCCCTTTTTTTCACAGTTTTTTGGCTTGTTTGTTCAGTTTTTGAAGATCATCTTATTGAGGGCTCTTCTAACAATCCATGCATCAAGTGAATCAAGCATCTCTGTACATGTGTTGCCATCATTTTATAAACATTTACTTTCTATTTGAGCCTTTGGTATCAGCTCCTCTTTTTTTCCTCCCATCCTCCCACCCCCCTCCCACCCTCGAGACCCCTTGATAAATTATAAATTATTTTCATGTCTTACACCTTCCACTGTCTCCTTTCCCCCATGGTTTCTGTTGTTCATCCCCCTGTGGGGCAGGGTGTGGTTAAGTGTAGATCATTTCCGTAAGTTCCCCCTTCCTCCCCATCTCTCCCCATCTTTCCCCTACCCTCCTGGTATCAATACTCCCATTTCTGTTTCTGATGGCTTTGTTTATCTGACCTGGATTCCATGTGTTCTGAGCTTTTTTTTAAAATCATTTTATTAGGGGCTCATACAACTCTTATCACATTCCATACGTACATCAATTGTGTAAAGCACATTTGTACATTCATTGCCTTTATCATTCTCAAAACATTTGTTCTCCACCCAAACCCCTGGCATCAGCTCCTCATTTTTTCCCATCTTGCACTATCCGACGTCTCCCATCACCCACTTTTCTGTTGTCCGTCCCCCAGGGAGGAGGTTATATGTAGATCCTTGTAATTGGCTCCCCATTTCCAACCCACCCTCCCTCCACCCTCCCAGCATTGCCACTCATACCACTGGTCCTGAAGGGATCATCCGCCCTGGATTCCCTGTGTTTCCAGTTCCTATCTGTACCAGTGTACATCCTCTGGTCTAGCCAGACTTGCAAGGTAGAATTTGGATCATGATAGTGGGGTTGGGGATGGGTATTTAGGAACTAGAGGAAAGTTGTATGTTTCGTTGTTGCTACATCTCGCCCTAACTGGCTCGTCAGATGCTATATCTTTTGATACCCGGGCACCATCAGCTTTCTTTACCACATTTGCTTATGCACCCATTTGTCTTCAGTGATCATATCAGGGAGGTAAGCACATAATGATATGAATTTTTGTTTTTTGATGCCTGATAACTGATCCCTTCGGCACCTCGTGATCACCCAGGCTGGTGTGCGTCTTCCATGTGGACTTTGTTGCTTCTGAGCTAGATGGCCGCTTGTTTACCGCATACTGAGCTCTTATCTGTATCTGTACATGCTCTGGTGTGGCCCACAGTGAAAGGCAGGACTGAGGTCATGATAGTGGGGGGTGAGGAAGCCTCAAGGAACAGAGGAATATTGTGTGTTTCATTGGTGCTATACTGCACCCTGGTTGACTCATCCCTAACTTGTGACCCTTCTGTGAGGGAGGTGATGTCCCATTGTCTACAGATGGGTTTGGGTCTCTGCTCCGACCGCCCTCATTCTCAACAATATGAGTTTTTTGTTTGTTTTGGATCTTCTGGTGTCTTTTACCTGATCCCGTTGACACCTCATGATCGCACAGGCTGGTGTGCTTCTTCCGTGTGGGCTTGTTGCTTCTCTGCTAGATGGCTGCTTGTTTAACTTCTAGCTTTTAAGACCCCAGATGCTATATCTTTAGGTAGCTGGGCACCATCAGCTTTCTTCACCACATTTGCTTATATGCACCCATTTCGTCTTGAGCGATCACAGAATGCCAGGTTGTTAGAACAAAGTGTTCTTGCATCGAGGAGGGCTTGAGCAGAGGCCCAAAGTCTGCATCCACTTCCTCAGTGTATTGCCATATAAGTATAGGCCCATATGCCCATATCTGTTTTTTATGAAATAGTGTGTTTACATATGTGCCAGAAGAAGCCAGCTCCTAGCACAATCACTCTGGGTTCAGTAGGTGCAATTGTACAGCGATAATAAGTAAATATTATAATAAAGTTATAGAGAGCATGAGAGATAAAAGAGATTTATAGAAATAAGTGGAGTCAGACACATATCATGGTAGCATTGCTCACCTCAGCCCCGCTTGGTAATCCACGTGGAGGGAGGGGGAAGGGAAGGAAGGCAAGGGAACAAGGGAGAGGGGAAGAGAGAGGAGTCAGAGAGATCAGAGAGTCAGAGAGGTCCGAGAGCTCTGTATTGCTGACTCACGCCTATATACCTTTTGGGGGCATGCCAGCCCACTAATTACAGGTAGAGACATACGTCAAAGAAGGGGCTGCACTACAGGTGTGGGGGGAAGTCAGATCCTTGCTGCCAGACTGTTGTCTCATACCACCAAGGGGGTGGGCCTGCTCCCTGCTGCTGGAGACAATGGCCTACTTCTCTCTGAAGCTTGGGACCATTAGCTTGGTTCCTCTAGGCGGGGTTCGCACCCTACTGATAATGGTTCCTATGGAGACCCAGAGACCACCCCCTAGACCACCCTCTCATTGCTGTGTAGCCTATAGTGCAACCCCTCCCTGTGAACGTATGTCTCTACCTGTAATTAGTGGGCTGGCTTGCCCCCAAAAGGTAAATAGGCAAGGGTCAGCACTATAGGGGTTGGACTTCTCTCTCTGACTCTGAGCTCCTTGCTGCTCACCCCCTGGTCACTCCCCTCTCCCTTGTTCCCTTTCCCTCCTTCCCTTCCCCCTCTCTCCACGTGGACCACCAAGCTGGGCTGAGGTGAGCAATGTTGCTATGTATCATGCCTGACTGTATTATTGTATTATCTCTCATGCTCTCGATGACTTTAATATAATGCTTATATATCTCAACCGTACAATTGTGCATTACTGAATCCGAGTAGTAGTAATAAGTAGTATCAGCGGGTGGGGGCTGGTCCCCCCACTTCCCTCAGCACCAATTTTATTTAATACTACATAGGTTACACAGCAATGAGGGGGTGGTCTCTGGGTCTCCATAGGAACCATTATCAGTAGGGTGAAAACTCTGCCTACAGGAGCCTGTCCATTGTCCCCAGAGGCAGGGAGCAGGCCCACCCCTGTGGTGGGATGAGACAGCAGTCTGGCAGCAAGGATCTGACCTCCCCCCACACATATGTACACACCTATGTTTATACTTCTATCCATAGCTTTGCCTACTAGATCTTTCTTGTTTCCTTTACCGTCCTCCTGCCCCACCATCATGCTCACTCTTCTTCTGCCTCTTAGTAATTCCTCTCAGCTAGATTGCTGTTGCTCCAACACCCCAGGATCACCTCCTTGTTGTTGATTTTAGTTCTCTAGTTGTTCCCCTGTCTGTGGCGTTGTTTGCTCACCGCTTCTTTCCCCACCTCTTCCTTCCCCCAAGTCCCTCCAAAACTTTCTCCTGGGGGTTGCTTCCCATGGCTGTCTTATGTAGGTAGGCAAAACCGCAATAACGAAGACAAGACAAAAAGAAAGCAAAAGATTGGATACAAAGATTAAAAAAAACCAACTAGCACAAAACCTGAAAAAGCATACATAATTCCAGGTCTGGCCGCTGACCTTTATGACTATCTCCCCACTGGTTCTGGCAACTGCCCCTCCTAGCCTGAAGTCTATT